TTTGGAAGTCGAAATCAAAAGAATATTTTCAGAAGTTGAAACTGTCAGAAGGTTTGCGACACAACTTATTTGAAATTACGCGGAAAGCAGTGTTGCTCTTTTCTGTTAAGGACTCTTCTAATGGAACATGATAATGCTCATGATTGCCTTGCATAACCAAATCTCTTTAGTAGTTTCTTTCTGGTTGTTAGATGAAATTTTCTAATGGATTTGAGAAATTTCCTACTAGGATTTCGACTAAAATTTCTACTAGATTTGTTTGAATTCAGATTTTCAGCTACATTGTCTAAATATCATAACATAAAGTGGTTCAATACTTTTGATTAAAGAGGAAATCAAGATTTTTTATGATCTTAAGGACTACTCTTGGCAGCGAAGCTACTTCTTTACTGAAATTAATAGTCCTTGGTGAAGATAATGGAACATCTAAACAAACTCTATGAAATGTAATCCTATGGATTATCACCCAGGCGAACATGGTGAGTCTCAAAGGATTCACATAGCTACATCAAAGTCCATGGGATTTTCATCCCAAACAGTTCCCAGCTATCCAAACAAGGTCTAAATGCTGAAAGGATGGGACTTTCTCTATTGAACATTTCTGGGTAATTTAACAAGATTTTATGCGAATTAGAGAAAATTTATAACTATTGCAGAAATTACAAATAAACTACTGGTGATGGATGCCTTTCTAGACATTACTTATCAATATGGATTGTAAAAATTTGATTGGTCAATCACTTGTTGAAGGCACCTATGGGGAGATAATCTCCTATCTTAGTTCCTTTTGCATGTTTTGATTTTATAGTCATGAAGATTATGCGAAGTCATAAAGCCTCATTTTGGACCAAAGTTATTCTAGATATTTGGAAGATCAACATCCTTGTGACACAAAGTTCTTGAAGTGTTTTCCTTGCGCTTGATCTGTTGAAGAATCGGTTAGGGTTATCTTCATCTCCATTTTATTATCACTAATTTTGTATGTGTTCATGCTACTTTGTCCTCTGTATCAATTGTCTGTCATTTCTTTTTCATCCTGTGCATGCACATGTTTACTTTCTTTCTTGGTATTTGTTTTCTTTCTATATGTATGATACCAAACCTCTTTCATTTTGTCTTCTTGACTCAATAATCTGATGATAGAGAGACCAACCAGACTTCACGCCAAGTAATGATCAAGAGTTCAGCACATTTTCTAGTTAGAGGAAATAGGCTTTGGTATTTACAATATATTTTAGTCTGTACTGATGTAATTGTCTCCTCAATAAATTGCTTCTGTTTAATCTTAGTCATTATCCACATGCTTATTTCAATATGTAAGATTTTTTGGTAACATTTTCAGGTTAAGCAGGAACAAGTCGAAAGCCTGTTGATCAAAATCACATCCTTTTATTTGTGGGCATCATAGTTTGTGTGGCTAAGCAGTGGATTTCCTGAACATCTTGCCAGTAAATTCATTTTCTTCTTAAAATTTTGCTGTACTACATTCTGGAATTAATATGATTAGAAATCAATATCAAACTAACAGTTGAATTAACATCTACCTCTCGTTACCAACAGTGTACTAAAACATGGGTGTGGCAGTTAAATCTTATATTTGCATGTGCTTAGTGTCGAAGATCCCAAACGATATCCATTTTCGGATAAAAGCTTTCATTTTGCAAGCTTACTCGCCTCTTTGCCTGGCTATTTGCTCTAAAGGTGAACGGCCTTAGGGCCGATTAAGTAAAGCTTGTATCACTAATATATAACAAAGAATATACTACAATTATAACTACTCCCATTCCTACCTTTGACCTAATTAAGTCAAGCTTGCAGAAGTTTGATTGAAATACAATGGAAGTAAATTGCATAGAAATAAAGTACATTTCGAGCTAAATAAAGTACTTCACAGAGCATCATAAACCCACGCACAAGCTTTGTGGTTTGCTGTTGGAGAGGTCATTTCTTCTTCTTCATCTCTTTTGTAGTTCTTTGGGTAGTTTCTCAGTTTCTTGTCTTGTATCTCATTTCTTTAAAATATAATTACAACATGATGTTTATTCATAATTATTTCTGGGTGTAAACACTGGAAATTCAATCTCTTCTAATAGAAGGTTACATGCATACTACACTTTACACATAAGTTATTCTAGTTGCTTACATTTGCCTCTAGTCTTCAGCTTCACCAATTTTACAGCTTCACCAACTTTTATTCCTACGAATCTAATGCTCAACCTACTTGTTCTCAGTTTTATCAAGCTCATTCGCTTCTTTCCTCTCCGAGATAGAACATCGATGGTTTCTCAGGTTCAGTGATCTCCACCGACCCCTCCAGCATTTTCGCAACCTTCCCCATTGATGGCCTTATCTCTGCTCGATCCTGCAAGCACCACATTGCTGTCTTCACCACCCTGTCAACCATCGGCAAGTGATCTTTATCGTCGTAGCTCGCCAAAATCACAGGATCAAGCAGGTCCTCTACTCTCCTCTCCACATACACCTTCTCAAATGCCCATCGCGGAAAATACCAGTCCTCACTCTCCCTCGATGCCCTCTGAAACCTACTGCTTCTTGTGCCCGTCACAATCTCCAGCAGCACAACTCCAAAACTATAAACATCAGCCTTGGCAGTGATTGGCTCTCTATGTATCACCCACTCTGGTGCTAGATATCCACGCGTTCCTCTAATCCTCGACATAGTTACAATATCATTCTTATTCGTTAGTTTCGATAACCCAAAGTCTGATACTTTAGGGCAGAAATCATCCTCCAAAAGTATGTTTTCAGGCTTGATATCGCAATGCAGTACCCATTCAAGACATTCCTCATGAAGGTACGCAATTGCTCGAGCTACTCCAAGTGCTATCCTGTACCTTATATTCCAATCCAAGGTTGGGGTTTGGCTTTGCTGAACTTTATTTCCTGTGATTTCTTGTTGGAAGAGGAATTTGTCTAGGGAGCCATTGGGGATGAATTCGTACACAAGCATCCTTTGCTCCTTCTCTGCACAGAATCCCCACATCCGAACGAGGTTGAGATGATGCATTCTGGCGATGATGGTTACCTCTCCCCAAAATTGAGCCTCGCCGCCTCCTGCACCGTTCTTTAACTTCTTGACTGCAACAATTCTTCCATCTGAAAGTTCGCCCTTATATACAACACCAAATCCTCCTCGTCCGACAACATTTGAGAAATCACCAGTAGCAGCTTTCAGCTCAGCATAGGAGAACCTCTTCGGGCCTCCGGCCGGCAAAAACTCAAGACCAAATGTTCGAGCCATGTCGCGATACTTTGAATACTTTCGAAGAAAAGCCCAAAAGGAGAGAATTCCAGCGAGAAGCTCGAGGGTGAAGAGCGTTACAATTATCGCCAGGTTTCTTGCAGTGGTCTTTGATTCTTTGCGTGGAGTTGGGAGACTGATTTTTATCGGGCACGTGGTATCGATCATGGAAGTCATTCCGGTGAAATTATTGGCATCTGATTCGGAGCTTGCTACTCTGATGTATGTAGACGTCTCTCTAACAGGTGACCAGTATCCAGAAGTGAGTCTGTCGAATTGATTGTAGCATGTCCGCTGACCGTTAAACTGGTAACTAAACGCAACACAGCTCGAATTTGCTATACAACTCGCTTGGCACTCAGCGAAATTGACTGATGTTGGCCCAATTTCGCCGTCCCCTCCACTGAAAGACACATAATCAAGCCTCAGGAACCTACTAGTCGGTAGGTACGAGGTTTTCAGCTTACATCCACTGTCTCCGGCATCTTTCCTGTACCCCGGTGGGCAAACGCAGGCGGTCCCCGTTCCGTTAGGCTCGCAGATCGCATTCACACCGCAAGTTCCCTGAATCGTACAGAGCTCTAGAACGGCTTAACGGCTTGCCACACCACCCCCCATCTGCCCGTACTGTTGTTCAGGCTGTAGACCCTGAGGTTGCCATCAGAGTCGAGAGTCAGTCGACGGAGAGCGAACTGGTTAACGTCGGCCACGAGCAGGTTGCTCCCATCAGCAGTCAGGTTTCCATCGGAGGTGAGATTCCTCAACGGGGAATTTTCCCAGTAGCTCCCCGTTCCGTTGAATGTCAGGGTAGTAGCGTTGATGAACCGGTACTTGCCTGAGACCAACGTGGTGCCGTCGGAAGGAATGCGTTGGTTCGTGAGGATCGTATCAGTTGGGTGTTCGAAACTGTTCCATTTGCCGAACGCGAGGTTCCCCTCGTCGGTGAGGGAGAGGGAGGTCGTGTTCGGGTCTCCGGAGGCTTCTGGAGGGAAGAGGTTGTTTCCGGAGGGGTCGAGGAGGGTGAGGGAGCCGTTGGGGGAGATGGAGAGGGCGGCGTCGGCAGGGGGAGTGGGGCCCCCGCGGAGACCAGACGATGGTTTTATCTGCCGAGGCTCGGACCCACACGGAGAACACGTAGGAGGGAGGAGGAGGGAGGAGGAGGAGAGGGGGATCGCCGGAAACCGGCGCTCAAAGGTGGTGGTTCTCGGGGAGAGGAGGGTGAGGGTTTCTGGAGGGCAGGCCACCGGGGAGTTGGAGAGGGAGGAGGAGGCTGAGGCTGGAGGCCGGCCGGTCGGCCGAAGAAAGAAAGGAGGGAGAAGAGAGATATGAGAAGAGAGATGGATGAAGAAGAAGAGGAGGAGAATGCCAATGGTAGGTGATATAGAAACTGCACTATTGAAGAAAGGACGGGGGAGATATAGGTGAGAGATTAGAGAAGAAAAGTCTCAGAGAAGTGGGTTATTAATTTATTAATTTGATGGGAAATTAAAATAAATAGACCATTATATTATTGAAAAATAATAAAAGCAGAAAATAAGAACCAATATTAATAATAAATATAAGAGCAAAATAAGACACAAATAATTTATATAAAAACGAAAGGAGAGTCGCATATATTGAAAACAAGGCACTCAGAAAACATACGGGACTAGTACCGTATGTTTAGAGCCAACTAATCACAGATTAGTGACTCAGAAAACATACGGGACTAGTAGTCCCGTATGTTTTCTGAGTAGAAAATTTCACTAATCCGTGATTAAAACATACAGGACTACTAGTCCCGTATGTTTTCTGAGCTGTTTTGCAAAATAGACTTTTTTTTGGCCTGTTGGTCAAAAAGAGGTCTATTTTGCTAATTATTTAGCAAAACGATCTATTTTGCTAAATAATTAGTAAAAACGGTCTATTTTACAATTTTTCCCTTTTTTTTCAAGGGGTGTTGTGATATTTTTAAGGTTGGCAGCCGGTTTTAGCTTCACTTGTGGCGGGCGATGAAAGCTTGACCGTTGACGTGGGTGTGTGCGGACACCACAGGTATGCTTCCTTCCCGCTTGGAGGACCTCAGCATAGCGTCTGACTCGTGATGGAAAGTTCAACGTCAGCTCCAAGCGTCCGCCATTTCTCTATTTTGAAGCCGCGTCAATGTCCAACCGAACTGCATATTTTACAGTCAGCTACATATTCGGTTCCTGAGGCTGCAAATTTGGAGATTTCTCTCCAAATTTGTAGCCAACTCTATACTACTATTCCCAAAAAAAAATACCAAAGTTAACCCTCAAACCCTTTAACAACATTTCATTATTCCAATTGTATCCCGTTATTATTTTTTATAGTTACTTAAAATCTGTATATATATATTAATATATTAAATATTTTTTAATGAAAATAATATCATTGGAAATGTCTCGTCGATACCTTCAAAATGAGACTAATATCGAAATATAAAATTACAAAACAAATAATTAGAAATGATAATACATTGGAGCTTAAACTGAAATAAAACACATTAACTTAGAAATACATCGAAACTTTAATAAAAAAAAGTTACATCACTTCATTGCCGTGTCTCTCTCACAAATGTTCAATTAATGCATTTCGAAGTGCGAAGTATGCTTCTTTGTCTTTGAATTTCTTATGTCGGGTCAGGAATTGTCGGAACCGTTCGGCATCGTTCGTCCCTATGTCTTCAACATTTGAAATTGATGGTGGAGTAGAAACGATAATATCTTCTTGCTCATCACGTTCATCCTCAATAATCATGTTGTGCATTATTATGCAAGTGGTCATGATATCATGCAAAGTTCGTTTATCCCAAAACCGTGCAGGTCCCTTGATTATAGCAAATCTTGACTGGAGAACACCAAACGCTCGCTCCACATCTTTTCGACAAGCTTCTTGCATCATTGCAAAATATTGTTTCTTTTTATCTTCGGATTTGGAAATGGTTTGAACAAGGGTTGGCCATTTCGGGTATATGCCATCGGCTAAATAATAACCGACATCATAATTCTTTCCTTGAATTGTATAATGAGCAGGAGGAGTAATACCTTGCGTTAGGTTGTCAAACAAATTAGATGCTTGTAATACATTAATATCGTTATTAGAACCTGGCAAGCCAAAGAATGCATGCCATATCCATAGGTCATACGATGCTACTGCCTCAAGAATAATGGTTGGGCCTCCGTGACGTCCTGAGTATTGTCCCGCCCATGCTGTTGGACAGTTTTTCCATTCCCAATGCATACAGTCTAGACTTCCCAACATTCCTGGGAAACCTCGCTCTTCGCCTTTTTGTAACAGTCTTGCAACATCGTCGGTATTGGGGGATCTAAGATATTCATCTCCATACACTTCTACAATTGCTCTACAAAATCTCTTCAAACATTCAATTACAGTTGACTCACCAATCCTTACATATTCGTCGGTACTATCTGGTGGTGCACCATATGCCAACATGCGAAATGCTGCTGTTACTTTTTGTAAAGTAGATAGTCCAAGCCGACCGACACCATCCACCTTCTGTACGAAATAGTTATCGTGTTCTCGTACAGCGTCGACGATACGAAGGAAAAGACTCCTTTGCATTCGGAATCTTCTACGGAATAAATTTGCACCGTATGTGGGATTATTAGAAAAATAGTCATTGTAGAATCGAGAATTACCTTCTTCCCTCCCACGGTTGATTACCAAATGACCAGGAACTGAGCCGATACGTTTTGGCTTCTCTTCCTCTTTAGAGAAATAAGCCATTATTTTATTGTTAGCGACATATAGACGAGCTAAGATTTCATCCTCCTCCTCCCATTGTTTCATATCCTCCTCCCATTGTTCAACGTAATGAGAAAATGTTTCGTCATCAGAAGAAGAAGAAGAAGAAGATGGTAGGTGTGATGGTCCAGCTCCATAGTTCATTGTTGAAGAGGGGATTTGGATAAATGAATTATAGATTGGTGATGAGTTGTTAATAGGTGTATGTTGTGTTATTATATAATGTTTCTACCCACATTGGATTCTCCCACCCGCATCGGTTTCTACCCACATTGGATTCTCCCACCCGCATCGGTTTTTACCCACATTGGATTCTCCCACCCGCATCGGTTTCTACCTACATTGGATTCTCCCACCAGCATCGGTTTCTACCCACATTGGATTCTCCCACCGCATCGGTTTCTACCCATATTGGATTCTCCCACGCGCATCGGTTTCTACCCACATTGGATTCTCCCACGCGCATCGGTTTCTACCCACATTGGATTCTCCTACCCGTATTGTTTTCTACCCACATTGGATTCTTCCACCCGCATTGGTTTTCTACCCACATTGGATTTTTTCCCGTATTGTTTTCTACCCATATTGGATTCTCCTACCCACATCGTTTTCTACCCACATTCCTTTCTCCCACTAGCATTGAATTCTCCATAATCTCCTACCCACATCGTTTTCTACCCACATTCCTTTCTCCCACTAGCATTGAATTCTCCATAATTTTTTTACTATAAATACTAGCACAACCCTCATTCCTTCATCACAACTCTTCTCATTCCTCCTCCATAGTTCTTCTCAACAACTCTTCGTCCTTCTCTTATGGCATCCAGTCGCGGAAAATCATTCTTACAATAAGAAGATCAAATTTTATGCGCTACATGACTTGAAATATCTCAGGATCCAGTTTTAGGTTCCAATCAAAAGAAAGACAAGCTATGAGAGCGAATTTCAGCTCTATTTCACGAAAGGATTTCCAACGTTTACACCGGACATAGGAGCCCGAAGTCTCTCTCATGCCGAATGCAATTAATTATGAAAGCCATCAGTAAATTTCGAGGATGCATTCGACAAGTCGAGCGCCTCAATCCAAGCGGTGCTTCTGAACTTGATATTGTAAGTATATGAATTACATGTTTCTTGGTTATTAAATTATTTTCCACCTTTTCTAATAATTATTTCTTTTTTTGTGGTAGAATAAACGTGCTAGGATCATATTTGCAGAAGATCCAGAAGAGAAAAGAGGGTTTCTATTTGATCATGTTTGGCCGATTTTGAAGGATGCAGAGAAGTGAGCAAATATAAGCGTCATGCCTTCTGCATCTTCCAAAATTTCAAAGTCTCGCTTGTCTCAAGGATCTGATTCAAACTCTCCTGTCATTGACTTAAATGAAGACAATCAGGCATATACCACTAATGACGACGACCATTCGCCAATGAGCATTTCAACTAGTCGACCAATTGGAAGGAAGAAAGAGAAGTTGAGAAGACGGAAAGAAATTGAAAGGAACATTGACTTTGAGGATTTTGCTAAAGGAAATCAAGAAATCTTAGAAGTTTTAAAAAAAGGTAAAGAACAACGAGAAAATGAAAGATTGACAATGAACCAGGCTATGATGTTAAAGGCTGAAAATGATAAGAAAAAGTTAGAACTTCAGCAAGAACGACAAGAGAAAGAAATTATGCTAGTTGATCTGGAAGCTATTACCGATCCAACAAAACGCGAATATTTTCGAAATAAACAACAACAGATTTTAAATAGAAATATAACTAGGGGTTCCTCATCTGATATTCCTAATCCTGAATACAGTTACGCAGGAAGTCAATACGGAATACCTGACTACAGAGGAGGTGGATACGGAGGAGTTGACTTTCCAGACTTTTAGTATTTTCATGTATTATGTTTTTCCTATTTGTCATGTAATTTTCAATTCATGTTTTTGCTTTCTATGTAATAGTTGTGGATTTAGTAATATGAAAGTCTGTTTAATTTAATCAGATTGCCTATTTTATATTAATACATTTAATATTATTATTAATAATATTATTTATATTATATAACTTTTATTTTTTTATTTTTTAAATATTCAAAATGAGAGTAATATTAAATAATATTAATTGAAATATAAAATTCCAAGAACCAAGTAATTAAAAATAAAAATATATTATAATTTAAAGACAATTATCTATTTCTTATTATCAATTCATTAAAGAAAATTAATTTTATTTAAATATATGATTACATTATATATTTTTAAAATAAGTAAAAGAATTAAAAAATTGAGAGAAATTGAAATGAAGTTGGAAATAGAGGAGTGTGGTTGGAGTTACATAACTCTATTTTAGCATATTCTAAGTAATATGCCAAAGTTTGGGCTCCAAAATAGAGCCTCACATTGGAGAAGAATCTAAAAGATTTTATTACTTGAAGAGCGATTTGATTACCGGTATGATTTGGACCATCAAAAAGAGTCAATAGGAGGAGGTACATATATATATCTGCAAGCATAGCGAACTAAGTTATGAGCGCTGGGGTTGAGATACGGTTCCATGCAGATGAGAACCAGATTCCATAATGATGTCAGTCCAACCATAAGAGAGGGCCAAATGAAGGCCAAAAAGAAGGGCATTGGCTTCAAAACAACATGTTTTTACTGTTACCTTTGACACGGAACATGTTGATTTTTGAGGAATGGCGTTTAAGACATTGAGACCTCACTTCTACCGTATATGTCTGTTTTTAGCTGGCAGTGGCTGGACATATCTACATCACATAGGTGCATATTTATTGGTTTGCGTTGTTAATTTCGTTTTGGACAAATTTTTAAAATCAACTGTTTTTTAAAATTAATAGGAAAAATCGACCGTGTCAAAAAATTAATAGGCAAAATCGATCTAAACGGGACTACTAGTCCCGTGCAGTCCCTATCTCCCTCCTCACCACCTGCCCCATCTCTCTCTCCCCTCACTCACCTGCCCCTCTCTCCTCACTCACCTCCTTCCTTCTTCACCTCTACCCCCAAAACCTCCGACATCACCAACTCCACCAAAACCTCCGACAACCACGTCGGCGTCGACATCAACATCAACAACCTCACCTCCAACAAGTCCGCTGTTGCCGCCTACTTCGACGACGCCGGCTCCAAGATTGACCTCAACCTCAAATCCGGCGTCAAGATCCAAGCTTGGATCGACTACGACGGCGCCACCAAGATCCTCAACGTCACCCTCACCCCCTTCTCCAACAAATCCAGGACCCCCATCATCTCCTTCCCCATCGACCTAACCTCAGTCCTCCAGAACTGGATGTTCGTAGGGTTCTCAGCCTCCACCGGTCTGCTGGAGATCTCCCATTACGTGATGGGCTGGAGCTTCAAAATGAACGGAACCGCCCCGCCTCTCGACCTCTCGTTCCTCCCCTTCCCTCCCTCGCCCCAAGAAGACGCCGACGTGGTTGTCGGAGGTGTAGGTGTCTCAGGTGTCGGGACAGGCGTTGATAAGGGACTTGGCACTAGTGGCACTGTAGGTACTGTTTCTGCAATTTGCTTCCCCTTCCTACTATAGGTAAGTAGCTCCCCCTGAGCCGTGGGCCTAACACCTCTTGTCTCCTTATCCTCTTCTTCTTTATTCTCCTGCTCCTCCTCAACCAATTCTCCTTCCCAAGGAATCGTTAGAGAAATCGATTTCTCCATATTATTCTCTACATTATTCATCTGCCTCTCACCATTCTCCCCTTCTCGCCTCATACTTCCAGTATTGGGCGAGTCACCAACGGATGAGGGTACCTTCTGTGTGTAATATGACTCAAATTCACGAAAGTACACATCCATGCTCACGAACAGCCTTTTCTCCACCGGGCTCCAGCAAACATATCCCTTTTGAGTAGCAGAATATCCCACAAAAATGCACTTCACCGCTCTAGGGGCAAGCTTCCCGACTGATGGTCTGTTATCCTTCACAAAGCACACACAACCAAATACTTTCAGTGGAAGAATCCCACCATTATCTCCTTTCAACGTCTCACACGGAGACTTCCAATCCAGTACTCTCGAGGGCATTCTGTTGATCAGCGCCACTGCAGTCAATACTGCTTGCCCCCATAATGTTTCTGGGACATTCATGGAGATCATCATACTTCTAGCAACCTCTAAAAGATGTCTGTTCTTCCTTTCCGCTACCCCATTCTGAGCTGGTGTGTATGGACATGTAGTCTGGTGTTGTATTCCCTGAGATGATAAGTATTCTTCAAACACCATGTTGATGTACTCTGTCCCATTATCAGATCTCAATACCTTCACCACTGCTCCATATTGAGTCTGAACATACCTATGAAAGTTTTGAAAGCAGACAAACACTTCACTCTTATTCTTCATCAGGTATAACCAAGTAACGCGAGAGAAACAATCAATGAAGGTAACAAAATACTTGTATCCATTCATAGAACTTGTGGAACATGGCCCCCACACATCTGAATGTATCATATCAAATGCATGAGAACTCCTATGATCAGAACTAACATAAGAGCTTCTAGTAAGCTTTCCCAACTCACATGCATCACACACAAGTTTCTGTTTATTTGCTTTCTCAAATAAAGAAGGATACAATCTACCTAAAACACTAAAGGATGAGTGTCCCAAACGCTGGTGATGGAGCATTAACTCATTTTCAGCACTCATTTTAGATCCTACTCCTGCTTCCTCTATGACTGACACCAATGCTGAATCCAGCCCTTCACGATCCAGATACCACAGTCCACTACGCCATGTGCCAGTCCCAAGTCTCCGCCCTGTCCCCTTCTCCTGGAAAATTACCTTGGGAATATCAAAAGAAACAATGCATTTTAGTTGAAGGATGATAGAACTAATGGACAAAAGATTGACTGGAAAAGAAGGAGCATGCAAAACATTGGACAAAGTTACAGAACCAGTACAATCGACTGTACCCTTACCAACCACCGGCTGAAATGTACCATCAGCTGTTTGAATACTATCAGGCGATGCTAAGTGAGTATATGATGAGAACTCACTAGCATTACCTGTCACATGGCGAGATGCACCGGAGTCGACTATCCACTCTGATGATCTGTCGGGAGACATAGAAGCAAGAGCATGTATGTCATCAGTACCTTTGTTCGGATGAGCATAGGTAGCAGTGTTGCCTCTGACGAAGAACGAAGTAGATGCCTCCGCAGTCCCATTCCTCAAATCTCCATCCCCTGCTACTTGCTGTTTTTTCCTGAGTATCGTGAGGAGAGCACGATCCTCCTCTGTAAAGACCACCTCAGCTTCTTCTTCTTCTGCTACCGTCAGATTCGCCCGATTTTCTGCTCCTCTTCCACCTCGTCGACCCCCACGGCCACGACCACGACCTCCGAACTGTCCACGTCCACCCGAATCTCCATCCTTGGATGGCTTGGTGCAAGCATGCCGTAGATGACCCACCGCACCGCAGTTATAGCACTGTCGGGTCTCTCCCCTAGATCCAGTGCTGCTAGAGGCTGCCAGTGCTGACTTCACCACAGGAAGTCCACCTGTCCCCGCTGAAGGCTCTGATACCAAGTTGAAATATATGAGAAAACCCTAAATCTTATTATGAGATCTCTTGGGCTTATATAGGCCCTACAAAATACAACTTACAAATAAGTCCCTACATATTACTCATATGTCAACAGTTTCCCATTTCGTTATGCATCAGAGTAGTGGCGTTGATGAACTGATATTTTCCTGTAGTCAACGTGGTACCGTTAGAAGCAGGGTTGTTATCGGAGCGGATACGGTTCGGATATAACACTTACCATATCCATATCCGTTTTTTATAAACGGATACGGATACAGATCATCTCCTGTAAGAAAAAACCTTAACTATATCCTCACTTATCGGTAACGGATACAGTTCGGATATTTAAGAATCGGATCGGATATGATCACGGATATAAACGAATATTCGACAAATGGATATGAATCAGATATGGATTAGTACACCTATGCATAAATTACAACCAAATATGTAAATATATGTGGTTGTAAATGATATTTTACACGTGGATAGACTTTCTCTTGTTTTCAGAGCTAGGCATTTACCTCCATCCTCCGTTTTCTTTTAATGTTTTTTTGTGTTGGATGCTTGTACATTAAATCGTGTTTTAGCCCTCCTATTGCATGTTGAGGATTCGAGCAGTCAAATATGAAAAATAGAACAATAAAATTATCTGTTAATTTTAGCTGTGTCCTGGTACACAAGTAACACAACCAATCAACATTTCACCTTGAACCCACATGATGTAGATGATGCTGTGTCCCAGCCTGGAAATTCGAAAGAACTGAAATACAACAGATGGCAACAAGGAAAATAACTTTAACTTAACGTTTTGCAAGTAGGTACTCTAAGAACAGGGAAAATAACTTTCTGAGAATAGTTTCTGAGAATAGATTGCAAACAGAAGACTTATCTACGAACAAGCAGCAGACACACACAACAACCAAGTCCGAAGACAGTTACAGAAATGTAATATAAAACTTTCTGAAATCTACTCAAATTCCCAAAATTTCATTAGACGCTTGAATCGAAGGATTCGACATGATTTTTATTCAAATAAATTAAAAAAACTTGATAAAAAAATCTTATACACATGATATAACATATTGATAATGAAATTAAAAGTAAAGTTTCGATTCGACCTTATGAAGAAGACGGCGGATCCGACGACGAGATCTGACAGAGTGCGGAGAAATGAGGCGGGCGAAGACGATGTGAAGACGACGGGATCTGACAACGACAGACTAGCCCGCGGACTGGACGAGACGAGGCCGAGACAGGATCTGACGGTGGACTGGACGAGACGAGGCCGAGACATGATCTGATGATGGCAGGACGTGGGCGTAGGGGTGAGCACGGTTTGGTTCGGGTCGGTTTTTACCAAAATTTGAACAACCGAACCGAACCACCTACAATTCAAAACCGAACCGAACCGTTGCAAATCGGTTCGGTGTGGTTCGGTTCGGTTTGTTCGGTTCTAACTTCATCAAGTATAACAATTATTGCAGCAATCGACAACATTTAATACATCAATCATCACTGCTACTCCAATGTACAAAAACTTTTTTTAGATCAACTTATACGATCTCAAATCAGAAATGTCTCAGAAGTTCTGATTTCAAGCAATTGAGTAAATTATGATTTACCCTTATGCATGAACAAGGTCAATCACTTGCGCTAATTTGAATGAGAATATTTTTCTAAAACAAGATTTCTTCCCTTATCATATATTATACAAATTCTCTGATCCGCGAAAATAAATATGAAATTAGGCCACAAACTTCCCAATTTTAAAAACTCATCGATTTTCCAATCTTTCAAAAAGCAAAAAAATAAAAAAACTGGCACCATTCCATCAGGCAACAACATTAATGATTCCTAAATCCGATCAACTTAGAGGAGGTCAAATCAGAAAAGGTAATTTCAGAAACCCTGATTTCAACTGATTAAGTGGTGAAAACTTACTCAAACGACTTAAGATGCATAAGGAATTTCTTACACTCCTGCTTCGTGCCCAAAGATCCTAGGAAACGCCAGAGTTTGGCCCAGTAATAATCCAAATATACAGAAATGAGAAACAAAGATGGGTTGACGGATCACAGCGGTGACAGAGACGAAGACGGAGCGCGTCGACGGAGGGCGGTAGGGCTGGACTTTGGAGCGGCTGTGGCGGCTGGATCTGAGGTTGGAGAAGATTTGGAGAACGGACTTTGAGAGCTAGGTTAGATTTTAGGATTTTATCCTGAGGGAACACGGGTCGGGTTACGTTAAAATGGGCATGGGTAATGGCGGGGGGGGGGGGGGGTGGGGGTTGAAAATTTTTCAACCCGACCCGAACCGACTAAGAGTTAAAACCGAACAGAACCGTTGATTTTCGATCGGTTCGGTCGGTTTTTTCGGTTTGGACGGAACCATACTCACCCCTACGTGGGCGAACGACGAAGACGACACTGGCGATGGGCGAAGATTGACGCCTAGCGAGACGACTGAAGATGACACCGGCGGCCGGTCGGGATTATCTTGGGTCGGGACTGTCGGGATCTGACGAAATTGAGTGGAGGCTGGAAATTGACTGGAGGTGGAATGGGATATCCCGAGGCTAGGGTTTTTAGTTATAGTTGGGTTTTGGGTTAGCGGTTACGGGTTTGTAACTTTGGATACGACCCGAATCGTTATTACATTACGGATATCCATATCTACAACCGTTATATCCATATCCGAAAAAAAAAACAAAATCGGATCCCTATCCAAAACCGTATCCGCCCGATTTTAAAATTAGCTTACCATATCCGCATCCGTTCGGATACGGATGCGGATCAATTCGGATATATCTGAACCGTTTAGAACCCCTAGTTAGAAGGAAAGTGTTGGTTTAGGATTGTATTCGATGGATGATTGGAAACTGTTCCATTTGCCAAACACAAGATTTCCCTCATCGGCGAGGAAGAGGGTCGTGGTGTTCAGATCTCCGAAAGCTTCTAGAGGGAAGAGGTTTTATCCGATGGCGTAGAGGAGGGTGAGAGAGCCATTAAGAGAGATGGAGGGAGGGTGGAGGAGGATATGGGGCCCGCGATGGACCATAATATGGTTTTATTGTTGGAAACACGATAAACAATAAGGAGGAATATGCATATCGTAACATTTAATCGAAATTAATTAAAATCAGAAGAATACCTAAATTTCGTGCCGATTCTCTACAATGTCATCTCCAAGATCTACCTGAAAAGAGCTTCCTCAAGAGAAAAAAAATCTCCAACTGAAGTCCACCTGTCACTGAAAAGGAACAATACTGAGAGGTTCTCTATTTTTATATTTTTTATTTTTTTAATCTTATATTCATGAGATTTTCTATATTTTAATAGGGCTACATATGAACCCTATTTATAGGATCAGACTAGCCTTATGGATAACAAATTCTAAAAGATTTAGAATTATATTAAAAAACTCAATCCATGACAGTTAAGAATAGAACAGAACTATATTACATTTATACCTCTTATAATGACATTAGTGAGACCGATTTGGTCTCATATTAAAAACCAATTATTAATTAAATTAATAATTTTAATTTAACTATCAAAGCCCTACCTAACCAACTATTCATAAAAGCTTTTCCATAATATGGAATTAAATATTTATGAATAATATTATCTTACATTCAATCCCCTCCAATATCAATTTATTTTAGGTAACTTTATTAAGCAGTACAATTTACCTAATTGCTCATGTCTAAATTGTAATCCCATTAACATAAAAAAAAAAACATGTTGAAATATTGAAAATATTTTATTTTTAAGAAAATAAACTTTGAAAAATACTTTTTTAAATCACCCACCGGTGAGATTTTAATAACTTTATGGGATATGCATAATAAATTAGCTCTCATAATGAGCATACTAAATCCTATCTGGATATCCACTGTTTCTCTCAATGACATCTAGCAACTCAATATTTCAGATTATATCGCACTTGCTAAACAAGCTTAACCACCACATCAAGACGTACTAAATTATCAAATCGAAAATGACGATATTTTTCATCAAGTCAAAGGGACCTTGTAATAATCCGATTTCTCCATCTCCTAGGTGATTTTTCCTAGAGAATTTAAATACGGTATAGAGCTACAAACATCACAATATGTGCTTATGACATATACCCGAGGAATGCATTCTCCATCTGGTTGAGTCCTACTACCACATCTCACATATTGAAATCATGCATAATAACCAGTTATAACTAAGTAATGCTTTGCTAGCTAAATGTTAGACAAAAATTTAAGAAATTTTTAAGTTAGATCATATCTCCAAGTAAATGACCATCACGATGCAGGATCTAACAAAACATATTCTAAGGATACTAAAACAATTATAGAAATAATACCAAATTATATGTACAATAATTAAATATATTAACATTTTAAGAATATTACATAATTTGCATTAGATGTTTTAAGGTAGTTGGGCGTGGGCCGAGTCGACCCGCGGGTTGACCCGGCCCCCAGTCCATGATATACCCGAGTCACAGGTCGGGTCGGGTCCAAGGTAAGAGAAGTAGGCCCGGCCCACGCCTGACCTAGCCCACACCCACCACGGACTGGCCAGACCCAACCCGTTCTGGCCCATGATATATTTTCTCGGAAGACTAGTTGTTCTTTTAGCTCTTTGGGTCTACGATTAGCAGAAAATAAAGCTAAAATGACATAGGTCTTTGGCTTGCGGGCCTTTTGACCCATTGAAAAACAAAGCAGCGATCTTTAAGTTCATTGCTGTCTATTTGGAAGAATCAAAAAGTTTAATACAAGTTTAAAAATTATTTAATACAAGTTTAAATTATTAAAAAATAAATTGGAAATAATTTTATAATTATAAATACAAGTTTAATATAATTAAAAAGGCAAAAAAATTTGGACGAAAAACTCATGGGCCAGCCAACGAGCCGTGGGCTGGGTCAGACCCGGTCCACACCTATGGAGGTTGTGCGCCGGGCTGGGTCCAGTCCCAGACCCGAAATGAAAGAAGTAGGCCCGGCCCACTCTGACACGGCCTGAACTAGGTCAGGCGCGGTCCGACCTTGAACCCGACGAGCCGGGTCACATGACTGAACTGGCCTGACCCACACCCACGCCCATGCCCACCCCTAGTTTAAGGGCATATTATTACTACTCCAGCATTATCTGTGGAGGCTCTCGCGCCCACACGGAGAGGACGAACGGGATGGAAGATCATGTTGGTGAATATTGTTTTACTCGTTTTATGTTAGAATATTGATATAAGGCACCACAATTTTGAAGTTAAAAGAAAGTAAATAATATGCTTTTACTGCTACCTTTGACATTGAACACACTATTTACTCTTCTTTCTTTTAATGGAGGGTTGAGGAGAGCGACGGAGAACCTTACTTCTGTCGCATGTCTGTTTTTATGTGGCAGTAGCTCGACCATAATTTTCTCTCCCTTCCAATATTTTTCCAGTGGAGAGTGGAATGGGCTTTGGTTGACGCAACCTTTTCTCCTGTGGGCTCTAGAAAAACATGATCGAGGAAATTTTCTTCAGCGGATGCAGGAAGCAGTTGAACCCATGTGCAAATACAGGTAAATGCTATGGAAATGTTGTGCGCTGCAAATTGTATCGGATTGAGGAAATTTTTGAAATAGATCAATTTCAATATTTGTTTCTCAAGATTAACCTGGTTGACATTTAATAACTAAAATCAACCAGTTTTTAGCCGGTATATATAAATGAGTATAAATGAGTTCTTGAATTTTGATTTTTTGGAGCTCAGATAATTGTCATTTTTTAGGCTATAAACCCCAAGTTTCACCTCAATTCATTAGAGCCCATCTTCAACATGGAGTTGGCGCCAGTGAGGGGAGAGTGAGGGAGTTTGACAAAGAAGATGATGGTCTCGGCCATCATGCGAAAGGGTCTAGAGGAGGAAAGGAAATGGTCGACGGGGGAGAAAATGGCAGCGAGCTCGGAGGAGGAGATCTTGTCATCGCTGTAGGAGTCGAACTTATTGAGGATGTGCTCAAGGTCGATGGTGTCAGAGGTCGAGGAGGTGATTGAAGAGAGAATGAAGCTCTAGAAAGTTTTAAGTTGGGAATGAGTTGAGCGAGAGCAAGAAGAGGAGGAGGGGGAGACTTGAGGGAGGACGGGAGATGAAGAAAGTTGAGTTGAGAGGGGGAAGAAAGAAGTTTAGCCATGGCTATGGACTCCATTGAGAGAGAGAGAGAGAGAGAGAGAGAGAGATTGCAATTATGGGTGGTAAAGTGGGGATTATTTTGAGTTTTTTTTTTCTCTCTCTCCATAGTTGGCATAGTATTAGGGAAGATGCACATTTTGCATCGTATTTAGGACTTATAGGCAATAGAAATTATGTAAGGGGCTAGGTCACAAGAAGTTTTGTCTTTTTTAGGATATTGGCATCATGTTTTTCCCTTATTTCAACGATAAAAAAAGATCACCACGGCTAAAATTCTTTCCAATGGACCGTGAAATGGGCTTCGTTATAACGGTTCTTTTCTCTCCGCCCTTTGGAAAAAGAACAAGTCAATTTGGAGCGTGAATTTCAAAGATCGATAAAGCCCGTAGGAAGCACAGCGCTGCACGAATCGCATCGGATTAGACGTCATGCTTCCGTTTGCACGGATCCAATTTTTGATGTTTGGACCGGCGAGATGAGAGAACGGTCGCAAAAAGAAACACGACAAGACTTGGTATGTATTAGACAACGCTAGAAACACCTTTCGCAAATGTGGATCTTTTGCTAGCCATTTGTTCTTGTTATATAAAAAAAAAAGAGGCTAAAATAGCAGTTAAATTACCTCATTGTTTTACTCGCTCACTATTTATATACGCTCACTTATATTTTTGTAGCATTTATATACTCCGTTGTCTAAAAGTAGCATGATGCTATCCTCTCTAATTTAAAACTTGTTAAATTATAGAGCGTTCAAAACATTAAAACTTGTTAAATTTATCGTTAAATTGATCCAAACTCTAATTTAAAATAGAATTAAATATAAGTTTAAAATAGAATTACGATAGAATTAATAGTAAACTTAACAAATTTTCACGTTTGGTTACCGTTTTTTTATTTTTCCTAACGCCCAGATCATGCTAGAGCATGTGACACGCCGAAGCTGACTAATTTGCTTCTGAAGAAATGCAAACCCAGAAACAATATCAACACTATCAACGTATAAATTAATTAATCGATTAATCAATTAATTAATTAAAACTAAAGTGGGGGAAAAAAACACTTCCGAGCTTGTTACAACAGCAAATTATAACACCCTGGTTGGTTACAGCTTCGAAGCTAGCAATTGAATATACTCTAAAATGATATCATAACAATCCACCCAACATAAATATAGGGCGAATTGGAAAGAGGACCACCGCATAAAATAGCTTAGCTTTCAACCTAGGTTACAACCATCAACCTCCATAACAACTTCGAAGTTTTGATGCAATAGAAATGTCATTAGAGAACCAACCAGACTCAAAACGCTGTTCCGTTTTCTTATCATCCAATCTAGCCAAAAAGCCAGCAGGCTAAAATGTTTTTTTTTAACTCGACAAAGCTCTAAAGAACTACACACTATACCTGGAGCTGTGATGCTCTAATATACCTTCAGTGCTTTGCTCTGCAATACATCGTTGATTCAAACATCAGAACACTGCATTCAAATACCATCAACTCTCAAAAGTTTTTCTATTACTTATGCTGAGAGGCCAAATCACCTTAGATCACCACGAGTTCTTCAATGGCTTCTCCAGCACAGCAGATATATACATCTCCCTCATCTCCATCCCTCGATCCAACTTCCTCCCAACCTCCCATTTCACCTTCTCAAACCCCACACTCTCGATAACCTTCGCATACTCCTCCATCTGTTCTTCAACAAAAAAGAAGTGATCCAACCAGAAAATCCCTCCAGGCCTCAACACCCTATAAACATCAAACACTACAAAATGAAGCAACTTTGTCGGTATCCAGTTACTCAAAACATGCATAGAATGCACTATATCCAGCGTATTATCAAAGAACGGCAGCCTCTGTGATATACTAACATAAAGTGGCACCACCCCTCGTGCTGCAATAAAACTATTAAAAGGGCCATTGAAATTCATCGAGGTAGTCACAATCGTAATATTCCTCTCCTTCATTCGTACAGCAAAAGTGCCAGAGCCACCCCCAATGTCTAAACCTATACGAATTGTTCCATATGGCTTGAGAGAGAGAACTTCATCGATACTAAAGTCTAAAGCATTCGATGATGGAGTGATCCACCGAGTTTTTTCTCTGCCATTTAGATCGAAGCAATCTTTACAGTCATCAAAGGCTTTAGAGTGTTTTCTTTCGACAAGGCATTTGAAATTTTTGCATGAGTAGGCAGACCAATGGATTGAAGAATCAGAGGGAAGAGACCAAAGGGATTGAGGAAGAGGAGATGGTTCAGGGAAATTTTTAGGGGAAGGAGGGCGGCATCGACGACGAGGAAGAGGCTCGCAGCCTTTGAGGAGGAGTTTTTGGGCGAGGAGTTCGTCATCGGGGCAAGAAGAGTTGATGGTGTAAGAGAGGTAAGTGGAGAGTTCTTTAGGGAATTGGAGGCAAGGGAGGCCTATTGGAGGGTGGAGAGTAGAGGAGTCGATGTTGGGGTTGTAGCCAAGGGGGAGGGGTTTCGGGGATGTGAAGGCAGAGAATTCGGGAGGTAGAGAGGGAGTAGGGTTGATGTCCACGGAGTCGGTTGTCATAGTAGAAGAGAAGAAAGATGGAGAAAATGGAGAAGATGATAGGTAAAATGTAAGGAGATTAGAGAAGAATAATAGAAAGGGGAAGAAAAGGCTTTGAGAGAGGGAGCAACGTCTGGATTTGGCTGAATCCATCAAGGAAAAGAGGAAGAGAATGCAGCCTGTGAGTGTTCCTCTCAATTTGATTATATAGTGAAGGGTGGTAGGGAATTTGTAAACTTTAAAGTTAGGCTATGGAGTTTAGGCAAAGCTTGATTTATTTAAGTAGGTTTATGATCCCATCTCTGGATAAATATTGAAGTGCAAGGGATTCGCACCAGCCTAACTATATGGAGTCTTATGTTTGAAATTGGTAACAAAGCACTAAATGATAGAAACTGAGCTAAAGACAAAAACTACTGCAGGGTTGACTAGTTGATGGCTGAAAGTGAAATGATAGAAAATGATTGAAATGGCTGCATTCTAAAGAGCCATATGGTTCGGTGACGCAAGCCAGATTTAAAGTGTTAGGCATAAAACCACAGACTAATTGCTTAGGAACCTAAATATAGTGGTGCTAATTCAAAAATATAAAATATATATTGCCCGGAGTACTGGTAAAACTTGCCTTCAAAATTCCAAATTGGCACCTCCCACAGCTTGCCTCATTTGGACCTGTGTAATATGGTAAAACTTGCCTTCAAAATTCCAAATTGGCACCTCCCACAGCTTGCCTCATTTGGACCTGTGTAATATAAGGCTATCCTGTGTGCACATAAGAAATTGGCACCTCCCACAGCTTGCCTCATTTGGACCTGTGTAATATAAGGCTATCCTGTGTGCACATAAAACACTAACATCGCATGGAAAGCAAAATCGATCAAGTAAATATATGACAGAGGTTGACTGACAGATGCATGATAATAAGGAAACCAAGTTGCAAGCTTGAAAATCAACCCAAAAAAGCAAGAATTTATGAAAATATGAGAACAAGAGAGCCATTATACTGCAATGCATGAACCAAAGATGTAAAACACTTACTATCGCATAAATATATAAATATCCCTTTCTTTTGCTAGTCATTAGAATATAAATATATCACTCTGATCTTGAGATGCATCTTACAATGTAGTTGGATCTAAAAAAATTGGAGGAAAAGTTAGGTCTTTACAGAACTGTTTCTTTCCTTCGTCTTTGGTTGGCGTAACAAGCTGCCAGCCGGGAAGGATGAGGGCCAGAATTTTGCAAATGGTGACCAAAATGTAGGCTAAGATTGTCAAGTATGAATCCAGAACAACCAAAATGTAGGCTAGTGATGTAAATAAGAAACATTCATGATCAAAAGCATTTTTTTTTTCTATTTCCGAATGAATCATTGTTCAGAATTTCAATACAGTAAAATTCAACCGCAGGACTCAGTTCAACTTATTCTGTCAACTTGTCAGCCTTCTAAATTGAAAACCACATATAAATAATTGTTTCCTCAGATACCTGAAACGTTTGTGCGGTCACATTTGTGCACGAGAAACGACAGCCCTGATATTCATCATTTGCTGAAAAATCAGGTAAGATCAAACAACTCTAACTTATAACCGGTTAATACTAAAAAGCACTCCATTTGCATTTGTTATGTAGGAAATTATTGATTTGTATGCGAAAAGATATTACGCATGATGGCTACACACTGGAAGAAACTAATTTATAAATAACTTGAAAGGAACATCAAATCTGTTTTCTCTACGATCAAATATCAAGGTCATCAAAAAGGGGAAACGTTTTAAGGACTGTTCGAAGACTAAGGTCAGCTTACAGATTTTTAGACTGTCATTTTTGGGCCGGTAGTAAGCACAAAAACTTGCACGTTTAGGGGACCATATTATGGTTGACAAAACTCCACATTTTATGGTATAAAACTGAGTTATGCTTGAAACTATAAAATATCGACCAACATGGAGATGAATGAAAGTTAAGAAAACAACTGAATCAGAGGCAGTGGAACTTTTGCAATCAACATTCAAGTTGGAACTTTGGATGTTTCCTACTAGCTATTTTTTTGACATTCTGAACATACTATAGAGATACATCAATTTATTTTATTTAAAAAAACAATAAACTAAAGACAATAATTACAGAGCTACAAACTAGCAAAAAATTCTGTAAATTGTCTTATTTGCCTACTTATCTTATGAGTACTCATATAATTAATGAAAACAAATAATGGTTATGATAATATTCGCACATGACATACGAGGACCACTATAAACATTGACAGCACGCAACTACAAACTTACTAAGGCTGCAACAATCAGCATTAAAAATAACAACGTGAGAGTTGTGACCAAGAAGAGAACTAGTCATTTAATGGGGAAATTGGAGGATGGGAAGATATAGGTATCTTCATCCTCAGCAGAGGAACATACTTCAAAGCAATAACTTTGATTTTTTCCCCCTGTCAACAATAAGTTGTATATAAATGTGATTTGCAAAAGAGGAGCAACAAGATGTTCAGGGCGAGCAACATACACATCTATTCTATATGAAAGATTACTAGTAATTTAAATATTCTTATCACTTCGGTTCCAATAGTTCAAAGTTTTATTCATCCAATTTGTTCAGTAGTGACAATATGATGGTTTTTTCCACAACAAATCATAAATTAGCCAAGCAGTAGTTTTAGGGGAACGAGAATTAAATAATGACACATTCCCCTCTTTTTTTTAAAAAAAACTCCATTAGAATTTCAAGCCGTATGTATACCTTCTAGATCTCGAGGGTAGCAATACCTCTGCAATGGGTTATTTCTAATCCAAATCCTCATGTCTTCAACCTCATAGTACCAGAGTTGGGAGGGACCAATGAACAACAACTTGGATCTTCCTTTCTCTCCCTGGAAAAAATCTAAGTTTGATGGCCTCTATTGCATTCAATTTTCCTCAATCAACTCGCTCTTATTTTCCTCCTTCATTCTCAATATTTCTGAAGCTAAATGGCACTCCCCAACCTTCTCCATTGCCTCCACTATGCAATCACCACAAGCATCCTCTATCCTAACCCCATTCTCAACAATCTTTCTCCCCAACTTCACAGCCTCGACCATATGTCCTTCCTCACAAAGCCCAGCCAACAGACAAGAATAAACATCCGAATCAACAAAACTCGCCCCCTTCTCCTCCAAAACCCCAATCCAATTATACCCATCCAAAAAACACCTCCTCTTACAAATCTCCCTCATCACCGAATTACAAGCCACCCCATCGGGCCTAACTCCTCTCTCCAACATCCTCCCGAAAAGCCCTTGAGCCCCCTCCCAATCCCCAGCTCTCAACAAACAGACGACAAGCACGCTATAACACTCCCTGCTTGAAATCCCCCTCTCTTTCCCGACCATGCTCTCGACAATCCTATAAGCCTCATCAACCCTCCCTTTATCACAAAACCCTTTAAGCAAAGTCCTCAGCGTAACCCTGTTCGGCTCAACCCCATTCAGTCCCATCCTATCGAGCACCCCAAGAGCCTCCTCCAACCTCCCGCTCTCACACAAGCATCTCATCAAACAGGTATAGCTCACAACATTCGGCCCGCATCTCCCGCCCCTCTCCTCCTCCATCTGCTCCAAGATCTCAAACCCATAACCCAAATCCCCGCAGCTGCAC